TTTTCTGAAATAATAGCTGAATTTTTAAGACATAATATATATATATGTAGTATTTTAGGTACGTAGTCAGAGAGATAGATGCAGGAACCAGTAACTTCCAGACGTGGCCGTTTATAAACACAACTTTATGCCATGATAATTCGCATCAGATCGCTTTTGGTAGACAAGGCATTTATCCAATCATAGTTGGAATACAATAATTTTTATGTACACTGGTTTTTAAAGGTATGCCGTAGGCATCTTACACTGGGAAGCAAAACAGTGTGGATGTTGGCGTGGCGGAAACTAGGAAAAACAATGACGTAGTTGTTTTGCAAAGAGTATTTATACTAAGTATGATGCATAAGTAGAGCTATTCTGTGATTGGTTAATGTTAGGTTGTTATGTAACATGGAAAGATTTCGAATTTGGGAGAACAGATGAATTTAGGGAGAGAGCACCAAATCTAGAATAGTTAATTTTGAGGTCGCCAATTATTTCTGAAAGCAGCCATCACATTTTTTTATATCTATATCTATATCTATATCTATATATATGTAATAGATTCTGTAGTAGAACGCGGGTGGTTGCATCTACAATGAACAGCGAAAATTTTGATGCCGTAGAGTGCTGAAACGCCGATCCACAAGGAATAAGAAATTTGGCAGTCAAGGTATATTTAATTTAACTTTTATTGCAGTAAACATGTTGGGGCCACAATCAAGTTGGTACATTAATTGTGCCTATTCGAAAAAGTTTACATTTTTGATAACTTTGTAGCAAGAAAGCAGCAGCAGACAAACAGCAGTTTAGCTAGGCCAAAGCGTGGAAAGCAAGTGCGTTATGTTCAAACTGAAATCTTAATTCAGACTGAGTTAGTTTTGGTTTCAATGCATTTTGATTGGATGGTTGCTGTAAAATTACTATTGGCTGTTTGAGTTTTAGTTTCATTTACATCATCAGAATTATGTAAGAGGCATATGACATAGATTTTTCTCGAAATGACGCAGTGCAAATAGAGGTTACTATTTTTAGAAGAAAGAAGGGAATTAATTTTCTCTGCTAATTTAATCTTTTACATATTCTTTATTTTTCTTACATATCCCCCCCCTTCAAAAGAAAGTTTGGGACAGCAGGGCAGTGTTACATTGCTAATTTTCTTATTTTACACAAAATCAGAAGACCCCCATAGCTTTCTCTAATTCAAACATTTCCAGCTATTTCGGTATCACCAGTTTAACGAACTTATGTACTGAATTTTCATGAGTGGTTAAGAGTTGCTTCTGGCAGTTGCTTATAAAGGCCTCCGTTCCTTGTTCAAAAGGCAACTGGCCTTCTGAACTGCACTATACATTCCACTTAACACGTTCACACCGGAGTCAATTTTTACGTTCTTCGCCGTGAGACGGCGCTCGAATTTTTGCAGCGTTTCATCTGACGGCGCGCGATTATTACCTGTTCAGACCTGTATACGAGTTGTACGTGTGCTAATAGTTATTAATTATAATTGTTATTAAAAAGTTTTTATAATAAATAAATGTTAATTTTTCATGATTTTAATTTTCAGCGTCTAATAACACAATCGAATGCATACCATCGGTGGCACGCGCCGCTCCATAAAACAGACTAGTGCGGGCCACCGGTGGTACGCGCCGCCCGATGAGACAGACTAGTGCGGGCCAACTGTGGCCCGCGCCGGCGTGAACGTGTTAAAGAAAGTTAAAACACTCTATTTATATAAAAATAATAATTATATGACAAAATTATATGGTGGGAGCCTTCAAAGTTTATATCTTCTGATATGAGGAGGGTAAAAGAGCAAATAACAGAGGTAAAAACAGGGCCTCTGTTTTGAACCAGCACTCCCTCATCATACTGCTACATGCATTTATTCTCTTTTTAGTATTTTTATATCCATCATAACTACACTCAGTATTTTAAATATATTTTCTCCACGACTGCTGTCTGTCTGTTGCTGCTTTCTTGCTAGAAAGTTATCAAAAATGTAAACTTTTCCCAACAGACACAATTAATGCGCCAACTTGATGGTGGCCACAACATGTTTACTGCAATAAAAGTTAAATTAAATATACTTTGACTGCCAAATTTCGTATTCCTTGTGGATCGGCGTTTCAGCATTCTACGGCATCAAAATTCTCGCTGTTCATTGTGGATGCAACCACCCGCGTTCTACTACAGAATCTATTACAGCAAAGTCGACAGGATTCGAAACTGTGCGGGGGAAACCCCAATGGATTTCGAATCCATATATGTAAGAAAAATAAAAAATACGTAAAAGATTAAATTAGTAGAGAAAATTAATTCCCTTCTATATTTTAAAAATAGTAACCTCTATTTGCACTGCGTCATTTCGAGAAAAATCTATGTCATATGACCGTTACATAATTCTGATGATGTAAATGAACTAAAACTCAAACAGCCAATTGTAATTTTACAGCAATATTAACTATCCAATCAAAATGCATTGAGAACCAAAACTAACTCAGTCTGAATTAAGATGTAACTTTGAACATAACACACTTTTTTCTATGTTTTGTCTTACCTGGACTGCAGTCTGTCTGCTTCTTCTTTTTTGCTGCAAATCGATCAAAAATGTAAGCTCTTTGGAACAGGCACATTTAATGTCCCGATTTGTGTGTAGCCGCAACATGTTGCTGAAAATAAAACTGAAGATTTAATCTGCCTTCGCCTCTAATTTTCTAGTCATTATGGATCAACACTTCTAAGCCATCAAAATTCCTGCTCCTGAATATTATATATATATATTACACACACATACACACAAAGTGTGTAAAATATAAAAAATATGATGGCTTTGTTCTGCGCGAACAGGCATCCGATAATTAACTTTCCGCAATTTCAGGATCTTCCCCCTAGGCCAGTACTTTCGAGAACATTCTGGCATGTTATATAACCGCTAGTGTAAATACTGAGTATGCGCCATTTTTCGTCAGACTGCTTTCTTCTGCCGCTGCTATTAGACCTTGCTGCTGCTCATCCCATCTTTCTTCCCGTTGTTAGAACAGTTATGACGTAGAAAATCTAAATTTAACCTTACCTAGTTTAAATCACTATTGAATATGTAATTTGGAGAATTTCATCCAGAGGAAAATGATTTGCGGGGAGAATTGAATAAAGATGTGGAATCTAAAAAAGCTAAATCCTTCTTTGGCGGCATTTTGAAGCCTTCTACTCAGTCACAGCACCGCCCAGCTTCTGATGTAGTTATATCGCCAAGCTTTGTCATTCCTGTACCTGCCAGCCAAAATATTACATATATACATAATTAAATGAATGAAATGGGAATACTCATATAAAAAATACGAGTTAAGTAAAAACTAGGAATTACGATTTGAAGTCTACATCAATTCCAATCAACTAAGTCATAATTACAAAATAAAGAAAGCAAAAATTAAAAAAAAAACCATAGGTAAAATATAAATTATAAAAGAATTTAAAAATAATAAAAGAAAATATTGTAAAGGAAAAAGTGAAAGATAGAATAAAGAACATTTGACTTTAAAGTAATAGCTAATAGTTGTGGAAAAGTAAATTCAATTGAGATTCAAAAATTTAAATGCAAATTATACGAAAATTTTAGCAATATTACAGAAAAATGACAGAAAAATTAACAATGGAAAAGATAGCGAAATAATGCTGACTAGTCAGGGAGAATTACCGTATTTACTGGTGTAATAGTTGCACCTTTTTTGGCAGTTTTACTTTGCAAAAATCTAAGTGCGACAATTGTGCGTGGAAATCTAGTACACAATATTGTACACTTTTGAAGAATTTTTCCGCTTCAAAACGGGGGTGGCACTATTATCACGCGAGTATAAATACGGTAGCTTATTTCACCCTCTTCCCAACTGCTCAGACATCGCGTTCCATCCTTGTCATGCATATGTAATTAAAAAATTTCCTTACTTAATTTTTCAGTGTCCCAGCTAATTCATAAGCATGCCCCTACACGAAACGTAGGCGCAATTTTGACCTAACTTAAGTTGCCAGTTTGGCATCATCCTTCTTACTTGAGTAAAAGACGAAATACCTTCGCATTTATTAATTATTGCTTATTGAACGGGAGTGGGTTTGTTCCATTTGAAAAGTCAACTAATTTCCGATCAATAGCGATAATTACTTGTTTTTAATTTTTAATTTCTTTTTCAAAGTTTGAAATTTTGTTATTCATAATTTAAATTCAAGTCTCCGTAAAACATTTTTTTCATAATTTACATTCAAGTTACTTTAAAACATAATTTTCGGAATTAAACTTCCTACATATGGGTTCCCTCTTTTTTGATACTTCTAAATTTATATTAGGACATAATATAATTAATATTTCTTTAGTAAATAAAGTATTATTATCTTACTGTGCAGCTATTGCGCAAGTGAATTTTAAATCATTCAACATATAATATATTTAATCAATATAGTTTAGGAAATAAATTATTATTATTATTATATATATATACAGGTGCATAGGAAAGTTCCTTTATCCTGAAAATTTTTGCGAATGGAGACAGCGATAGCTCTGCAAGTGAAGTAACAGTTTAGTAAAACTACTACGCCCGACCTAATGCAAACGACAGCAGCGCCCTAGTGGCAAAATTTGGAAGACAGACATTGCAAATCGAAAATGAAAAGAGATGGAGCAAAATTTCCAATTGGAAAGTTTTAGAGCATCAGTTAGTTAGAAAGAAACGACATTTGATTCACCCGGTTAAGATAAATTGTCGCCTGTATAACCAAAGATGTCCGCTTTACCCTATCGATTGCATTAGGTCGGGCGTAGTTGCTTTACTATCCCGTTAGCTCATTTGCATAGCTATAGCCCTCTCCTTTTGCATTAAAGGAGAATTAAAGGAGAATTATTAATTTTCAGATTAAAGGGGTTTCCTATGCCTGCTGCTAGTATCCATGATTATTTTAATGATTTAATACTATTATATTTACAGTTATTTTTACTATTATTCTTAGCTTATGTATCATTATTTTAGTTGTAATTTGCGTGGCATACTCCTCCTGCCTTCAAGTGGAAGATGACGATGGAGATGGAGAACCAGTTGGTAAGTGTTTAATCTTCTAAACAACCAGTATAACGCTGGTATTGAACTTTATCTCTATGATTAAATAGTGAAGAATTTGCGTGCATGTATGTTCCATTCATCGTGTAAAAACGACGGCACCTCGATCAACCACATTTGGAACACTTATGGTCCTCTACCCGAACATGTGCACCTCGAAGCCAGAATTTTGAATTTGTTTTTTACTGTTTCATACTTTGTGTGAATTTAATAACATTTTGATTCAAAATTCTGCGATTTAAAATCAATGTGTTGCCACTTAGCAGAGAAAAAATATTTATCTGTCATATTTAATCAGGAATCTCAGCGGTTTAAAAGAAACATGTCACTTGGCAAAGCGTAAGTTATTTAATTTTAAAATTGAATCGACTAACTCAACAATTTAAAAAGAAATGCTTTACTACTGCTCCAAATAAGATATTTTTATCTCCTGGGGTTCAGTGATTTGCAATTCGGCAAAGAGATGTTTTTCTTTCAAATTTAAACTGTTTGATTTACTAGTTAACAAAATAAGCAATTTATATGTAGCAAATTCAGTTCTTCATTCCTATTATTATTAACTGAAAGACTGGCAATGTAGTTCAATATATATTGGTTAAATTAAGACAGCCTTGAAATTTCGTACTAAGGAGCACGAGGCAAAGGTTAAGGAAAAATGAACTCATAAATCTTCAATTACCTTATATTGTTGGTAAAAAAAAAAAAAAAAAAAAACTCATCTACCATTTTTCTGTTGGCAGAATTATTCTAAAAGAATGTTTTATTGGCGAATTAGAATTTCCAGTGGCATTCCACGTTCACAAAAGTCTACCAATTTTAGTAATGATCCTAATTCTAACCCTCCTTCCGCTTTTAAAGAATTTATTTCATAGTAGTTTCCATTTTAGATAGCGCTAGTGGATTTGTTTCCTTCCTAAACTAGAACTTTCTCGAATTTTCTTGTCTGTTGCTATTGCGTGAGAACAGCCTTCTCTGTCATTTTCACTCCTGCAGTTGAAGAGGAAAGTTCTGTTCAAACCATCGAAACTAGTCATATGAATGTATACAACTATGCTCAATCTTGTTGCTTCAATACTCCAAAAATTCTATTCTTGTTAAGCAGTTTCTGGCAAACAGTTGCCCGGCTTATTCACTACATTTTAGTCCGCGGACAATTTACTCTTTCGTACAAAGAAATTTTCAATTATTATTACAATTATTATTTTAATATTGTTAAAGCGATTCAGAAAATCGTAACCAAAAGTTTAAACCTAAAACTTACAAAAGATAAGTCAGCAGAGAAATCAAGCAGATGTACGAGCGTGTCAAACGTTATACAGCTTTATAAAAATTTTATATCAAAGGCTACGAAGTAATAGTATTGTTTTCTTCAACTTAGATATTAAACTTTGTTCCCAAACTTTATAGACACGCTGTGCATGTGTGTAAAGAAAAACAGATCTTTCATTGAGCTGCTAAGGTGAAAAAGCTGTACAATGAAATCCTGCCATTTGATTTTTTCATCTTATGAAATTATTTTATATTGATAGTTTGCTAGAAACACTATATTGCTCTTTTCCTCTTAATGAGATATTTAAAACAGATTTATCATGTGCTATATTCAGCAAAAAACCTGCCATGTATTTAAGAAAAAAATGTGTAATTACAGTTTATCATGAGTCGGTATAGTGGTTAGGGGAGCCGACTGCGATACCAAAGGGCCCGGGCTCTAATCCAGGAGAAGCCATGGTTGTAACTGTCCAACTTTTAATAGGAGGTAAAGGTGGCGCACCTATTGGGTGCCTCATAAAGTGACCACCACTTCTGGCTTAACCTGTGGCCAAGTCGGCTGGGAATGTTGTATCATGAAAAATTATACACAGAGGGCCTTCAGTCAAGGGTGTGTGTTTTACTGTGTTGACAACAAAAGAGGGATCACTTTGATTGGTGCAAATAATATCAGAACTCGAGTGAAAACTTCACCGCTTTTACTGATGAGTTGAGGTTTAACTTAGCATCTGATTTTAAACGTGTGTATATCTGGAGGAGACCAGGAACACGAAATTTTCCTTCAAACGTTATGGAACGTGACCATTTCCATAATGCGGGTGTGATGATAAGGAAAGAAATAATGATCGATAAAATTTCTGCTCTTAATATGAGGCTATCAACAGTGGATTTGTGACCGGCCAGAGATATCAGGACACTGTCTTAGAATCTTAAGTAAAACTTCTCAGAGGCACATGGATCTGACATTTTATATATGGATGGTAATGTTCGTCCACATCGAGCAAACCTGTTGATTAATTCCTTGAAAATGAAAAGCGAATACCGTGGCCAGCAAAATCTTCTGGACTTAAGTCGATAGAGAAATTATGGGACTAACTTGGAAATCCATTTGGTTACACTTGTGGGAATACGTCCCCCTCCCAGGGGTTGACTCGGGAGAATTTCTGGGAAGTACTGGCTAGGATCTGTACTTAGGCAGTCTCAACCACGAGGGTATAAATTCAGTCTTCACAAGACTAGAACCTCCGTTATTCGGGTGATGGTTCAGGCTTGGCAGGGACCGTACTGGTACTGTCTTGTGTGCCACTTGGCTTTGGGGTCGTTATATCGTATGATTTTGTGGCTGTCTTTGGGGTTTGGTCCCATTCAGTCTCCTGAGAGGGATTGTCATTAGTATGGACCACCTCTTCGAATCTTCGTTGCTCCCTTCTCTTTTTGAATCTTACGTGGTTCAATGGTGCCCGAAGGCACAGGTGCCTTCGTTTAATACTCGTTGTAGCGTTCTTTGGTGCCATATTTCGTAGAAGCCCAAGGGGGACCGCAGGAGCTGCGCCCTCCTGGACAGTTTCCGGAGTACGGACGCAACTCACTGTGCGGCAAATTTATCACAGGGATTCGTCACTGGTGTTCTGTGGGAATACCTTGGAAACCTTGTGGGACAACCTTGGAAAATCAGCTGCACGGAGACGTACTCCTCTTAGAGATATAAATGCCCTTAAGACCGCGTTGCTGAAGTACTGAAACTTATTTCCCCAAACTGTGTTATAATTATTATTTCTGTCATGAAAATACACTGTGATATATATGTACAAGTCAGAGAAGATCACATTTCATATGAAGTTCAAAAGTCTTAATTTTTTCTGAGCCTTTTTTTTTCTCTAAACTCTACTTGTAACATATTATTATTATTTTTATTATTTCAGCATATGATACAGTTTTATGATCTTACGTATCATTCCAAACCAATTCGTAAAAGATATAGCTCAAAGCTTCTACATGTAAAGATTTCATGCATGTAAAGATAACTTTGGACATGACTGTAAGAGTCTTTTGTTTTTACAGGTTCCTATTCAGTGTCTCTATACAAAAAACAAGACCATTGGGATTTTAAATGTCCGTCAATTTATGGTCGTTATCCCCATCCGGATGACTGCTCTTTTTACTATGAATGCCGGAACGGTTGGCCAGTTATGATGAAGTGCAAGCGAGGGAAGTTGTACGATGAGGATAAGAAGCAGTGTAAGGACAGGAAAAAAGTACACTGTCATAGAGAAGGAAAAAAAGATTTTACGACGACTGAGGAATATAAAGGTAGTATTCTCAAAACTTTTGTACTAGTTAACAAATTATATACTCAGGATAAATCCAAATGAATAATTTCTGTTTTGAAAATGATTGAATAAGCATATATTTAATTGTGAGACATCAAATTAATTTTGACTCCCCATATTCTGTCATACATAAGTTGTTTATGTCAGATTCTTAAGCGACATTACCCGATTGTTGCAGTTAATGATGCACACTTAAATAGATGCAAGAATGAAGTACACAATACTACTTAATTTACCTGAGCAAACTACTTTGTATAGGTCACTCTCGCTGAATGGTACGTACTTCACATTATTTCGTCTCTGCGGCGCAACCAAAGAATATCTAAAAAGATCTAATCAGTTCTAATTTCCTTAGAGATTCTTTGGGCGTAACCTACCAACATGTATTTTATTTACCTTGTGTTGTGGCGCCATCTCGTAGTCAAAAGTAAAGCGACGTCATGCATAATGTAGGTTTTGAGTCTCACGCAAAGCGGCATAAAAACTTTATCTTTAAAATACATTAAAAAAAGTGAATTTAGTGATCAAGTGTGGAACATATTATATTATTGTTTACTCCTTTGGAATACAGAACGGACGCATGGCAAATGGATGTCACATAGCACACCTGTAATATGTGATAAAAAAGTTAAAATAGGCAAAGTTTAATTTGATACTCACAGGTAAATATGTGCTGATTCCGTTGTTTGCTTCAACTGTTTGAAAAAAAAAAAAAAAAAAAGATTTTTTTTTTTTTTTTTTTTTTCCTATACTAGGGCTTCTTTTAAATGGGAGAATTGTTGTATTTTATCTACATATAAAAATATCATTCTCTTAACAGTTTCAGAACTATAGTTCAGATCATGGTAAAAAAAAAGTTTCGCTGAGTTTCAAAAGCTGATAAACTTCGCGCATACGGCCTAGGCGAAAATGCAAAATAAGTGCAATCATCTCTAAACTAGGTAAAGTGCTTACCGACAGTTTACTTAATTTATTACATACGCCATTACATGCCGACAATAAAACATAATCTGGTCACAAGCAATAAAAGAAACCATAATTAGTTAAGCTAAGTGAAACGACTTTTTTTTTTTTTGCCTTTTCATTTTCAGGCTACGTTAGTATAATAGGCACAAATTAAATTTTTTATTTCAGTATTTATTGCTGTATGTATTTTTTTGAATAAAATAAATAATAGGGATTTCGTTAGAGAGCATATAGGAATGGACATAGGGGGTAAAATAAATAAATGGTATGACTTTGGTAAAGGCCTCAATAGGCCTCATGCCTTTTACACGAATAATTAAGAATATGAAGAATGTTTGATAAACTGTTAAAAGATTTTGTCGTAGTAGTAGTATAAGGGCAATAATATATATCATAATAAATAGAAAATATTACAGTTTTTATAACAAAAATATTAATGTGGGAAAAGATAATAAATTGGTAGTATTATTTCACCTTGCCGAACCTTTTAAGTAATTAAAACATTCAAATAAACTGAAGGAAAAATAACTAAAATAAGATACAAGTTTTATTAAAGTGCTTCAACAGAATTATTTGATGTCTTTTATAATGAAACATAGGTTATTGTTCCCCTTTACACTTAATGATGTTTAACCATTTATCTAAATCAGAGGAATTTTAAATATAAAATTTTTATTTTTCTTGAAAGTGGTATTGCCCATTTCCGGCTTTGGTTAAAATCATCCGGAAGATAACGAAGTGAAAAATTACTTAAAATAGAAAATAATCTTTATTAAAAAAGCAAATTTGTAGATCCACAAATAAAAGCGCTATTGCTATTCGCATTGAACTTGCGTACTGTATCTGACTTATCATTGACTATTATGACCTGTACTAAAATTTCATGTCAAGGAATGCCAGTAGATGGCGCCAGTGGCGTTTCGAGCTGTATCTCCTTAAGAAATTTTCTGGTCGCCTTTTTGTTGAGCCTTTTGTCAATAGATGGCGCCAGTGACATTGATTTGCTAATCTTTAAAATATGTGTGTTTAAAACTCGCGACCATCAATTCATTTCAGTGGCTCTTATATTTATATATATTCTTTCAGGTTGTATTCTGTATATTGTATCTTGACTGTACCTTGTACTTTGAATTTTGTATCCTGAACTTTGTTTTTTGGATAACTTTACAATTATTCTTTCCGACTCTCGTCATGCTTTGAGGTCACTTTTCCAGTTCTCTTTTTGGCTTTTGGACCTTTTTGGTCATTCTCCTTTTCTTTTTCCTCGCCTCCGATTTCTCTTCTGAGATCTCCCATGCCCAGAACCTGTTAAGTCATGGGCCTTCGGGCTTTATTTCAGGAAACGGCAACGTTGCATTCAGCAACAGTTATCCAATCCAAGTCATTTTAGTAGCATTCGAAGTGTAAGGCAGTATAAAAATGCAAAAAAATCATGCCTCCTCGTGACCTCAATCAGGGCGTCGAACCTTAGTTATATACCAGGGTTGGCTAAACTTTACGAAGATAAGAGCCGCATGTTAAAGTTCATGAACGTTTGAGAGCCGCAAATCCATACTGATATTACACTGGTGTGCAAAAATTAAGGACGAGACGGTTTTTTCAATATAACTTTGTACAAAAGCTTTCCAAATCAACACATTTAATACCGTAAGAGATAAAAATAGGGATAAAAAGAAATTTTATATTTATTATTTTAAAATTATTGAAAAAGTAGCATGGATGCAATGCGACTGAAGGCCGAAACATCCCTGTGATGGGTGTCCAGCAAGAAACTTCCGGTCTTTAATAGAGAATATGATCTCCCCTGACTGCTAGGCAGGTTTCACAGCGTCTGCCCATGCTGAGAATGAGGGTGTCAATGAGTTGTTGAGGCATTGCTGCCCATTCGTCTTGCAGCGCTAATCGAAGCTCCGGAATCGTTACTGGTGGTAAGGTACGAGCTGCCAAGCGTCTGTCTAGAAAATCCCATACATGCTCGACGTGGTTGAGATCCGGAGATCGTGCGGGCCAATCCATACGTTCAGTATCCTTACTCTCTAAGAGCTGTTCGGCAGCTACTGTGCGATGACATGGTGCATTGTCGTCCATGAAAAGGAACTGCGGACTCATAGCGCCTCTAAAAAGACGCACGTATGGAAGACCCGATGATTATAACCCGTTATTGTAACGCATCTCGTTACAATAACGGGTCCCGTTGACTGAACCTGCGTCGAAGATGTGAAGATGTGAAGGTCTGTACGACTACCAAGCATGATGCCTCCCCAAACGAGAACACCGCCACCTCCATACCTGTCCCTTTCAATGATGTTCGAGGGAGGATTGCGGCTTCCCCGCTCTCTCTCCAGATGAGTATGCGATGAGAATCGCTACTCAGACTGAATCTGCTCTCATCTGTAAAGAGTACTCGTCCCCATTCATTGTCTCTCTCCAATTCCGGTGTTTCCCGGCACCACAGAGAAACGCCTTCTCCGATGGGCAGGCGTTAGAGGTACACACCGTACAGGGCGTCGTGCAAACAGACCACCACCGTGCAGTCTTCTGGCCACGGTAAAAAACGCGATATCGGTCGTCCAGTCGCCTGTGTCGTGTGTCTAGCGATTTCTCTCGCTGTCTGCCGCCTGTTTCTTCTGGCCTGTAAGGCAATATACCGGTCATCTGAGGGTGTGGTTCCTCGTGGACGACCACTACTAAACCCCCGGATAGCTGTTCCTGTGGTTTGAAATTGTCTCCAAAGTCGTGAAACGATGCTGTGAGCAATTCCGAACTCTGCAGCCACACTTGTCACACTGCGGCCTTCCTCCAACTTCCCAGTGATTCGACCTCGGATAAAAGCATCCAGATGTCGTCTAACAGATTGATTATTCGCCATTTCTCGCTGAGGCAGCAACTCGGTGTGATTTTAACTGCTATACGGCGTGCAATCTCTTTGCCAGAAATACTGATCTTACAAACCGACAACATGCTTTACTACTCAGACACTCCCCCATTACGTCTACCTGCATATCTGCGCATGTGCTACCGTACATCACCTTATTTAATCTCCTGATTGGTCTTTCTGTCCGCTCTGCCTCTTCGTTCAGCTGATATGCTAATTTTTCGACTTCGTCCTTAATTTTTGCACACCAGTGTATTTCAATAATAATGATACATAATTTGAATACAAGCAAACTTTTGAAATAAATTAATGAAGTTTTCGTATTTTATATGTAATTTACATGGTTGCATATAAAAAATATTATATGTGTTCAGAAGTAAACCTGTGTTCAGAAGACTATGTGTTAACGAAATATAAAAATTTCAAACTATAGTACTAGGCATTCAAGATTCTTTCGGGTAGGGAAAAAACCAAACATTTTCTTGTTTCCTTTATTCCCCTTAAATTTTAATTATTGTTTGGTTTCAGAGAAGTAAACTGATTCGGAAGAATATGTATTTGCCTTTATGATTACAACTATGTAAATAGTTTTTCATTTGAATGCAGAATAAATCATAAATAAAAAAAAAAAAAAAAAAGATCGAACCTTTTTTTTCTTTAACTCAGACACAGTTTTTTAGAAAGTACAAAATAAGTAATGCAGGACAGCGATTATTTAAGAGAAACTCTTTTTCGAGAAAGACATTTTAAAAAATGCTATTAGCTGCTTTAGGCTTTTGCATAAAAGAGAATAATTTTGTTTTTGCACATAATTAACATAAGGACGAACATATTGATATAAAATCTAACTTTATTCAATTCATTCATTACATGCGAACCTCAGACCTCGGGGATTTTCAGAAAGATTTTAAATTCCAAACTTCGAAACTTAGAGCTTTTCTTGTCATTTGAATCTTTGAATCCTAAGAAATCGTTAAATATTTTAACTCAAAACTTTGGAATAACCAGTTTTCCTGATGTCCAGTATAGAATAATTCATTAAATAACAAACACGACTGTCTTGTCAATGACGGCTCGGAATGCCACACTATTTCAGTATGCCACTTAGCGAAATCTGCCAAAATTTTCAATAGCCAATACACTGCACATCATTGAAAATTCTCAAAATTATATCTCGAATCGTGATAATAATTCTAGACATAGATAATCTATAAGGTGTTTTCTCCCTCTTTCCAGCATGCCATCGTGATATATCGGTAGCACACTCGGCGCGTTTTCGAGAGGTTCAGGTTCGATCTCTGGAGAGGGCATTGCTCATTTTTCATGGCTCCTGCTTCAAAATAACCTAATGACTCTATAAATCTATTACTAACAAATCTAGCAACTGATTCTACGATATATGAACGCTGCGTCGTCACATATTCCAGGTATGTATAATCGAACTCCTGCCATGGGTGTTTAATACCGAGCTGTTTCTCAAATTATTAGGTATCAATAAGGTTTTTTAAAACGAATAGTACAGAAAGAAAAAATACCCGTGACTATTATAATGTATATATTTCACAAATACAAATATAATATGAAAGTTTAACTCTCCAAATTTCTGTGGACATGCAAAAATGTTCGATGTGAACACACTTAGTGAAACAGCAGACGTTTCCGCGGTAGGTTAGTTCGTCCCTATTCTAACCGTTAACTGGCTGGGCTTGTACAGGCAGTTAAATGACTTACTTGCTTGTCTTAAAAATAATTCAAATACATACACTTTCTCTCTCTCTCTCTCACACACGGGGGGGGGAGACTTTCTTTCTTTCTTTCTTTCTTTTTTTAAATAACATCAGCCTCATGGTTACACAACTTGCATACAGAAAATAAATCTGAAATGGAGTTTAAATGTTTGAAATGGAGCCTGCAAACGAAGGGGGTACTTTAGGAAATGAAACGTCAAACCTCTAATCCGAAAATGTACGGGGTTAAACTCCAAAAGTATTTCATATTACATTGCTTGAAATTTTTAATGATTAGGTAGTGCAATGTAGTATTACTTAATTATAATAATCGCTGGATTACTAAGCTTTCGTGAAAGACATGCCAGACAAATATAATGATTGAAGATTAGGAAGACCAAAAATACCAACAGATTAAAGGAGAGGGACGCTGGCACCAGAGCCCAGCTGGCAGTTGCACTGAGTAGCAAATTAAAGGGGCGAAAAATTTTAGAAGTACAAGATGACAAAATACCAATCTCCAGCTCTAATTTAGTGCAATATTTGTGTTGAGTTGTTGAGCTAGGAAGAAAGAAATCTGTCAAGCAACACAGCGGAAAATGTCACAAACTAACTAGCAGCATCAGTATGCTGTATTTTGACAGAAAGAATCAGAAGCCTACCAGGAGAGAGAAGTTTTTGTCTAGTGGATTCCTTATTGCTTGATGCAGCAATGTTATTGAAACAAAGAACTGAATGAAGGATTTAATGTTAATTAACCAGGTATTAGGATTTAAACCTTTACTTACTTTAATTTTTCTTTCGTAGTCCTTGCCAGAATATAAATCAGTTGTTGAGAATATAAATCAGTAGCTAATTGTCAGAATATAAATCAGTTGTTGATTGCCAGAATATAAATCAATTGTTGGCAACCTCGCCTTGCAGTTACCTACTGTCGCCATCTCTGCTAAATTTTATTTCGGCTTTAGTCATCCTGTTACCGAGGTTTCAATACGCACCACTAGTAACTGGAATCAGAAAGTTAGTCTATTTTATGTCTATAAGCTCAAACTACGTTACCTAAGTTGAATTTAACTTCATCTTATAGTATTTTAAATATTCAAAAATAGAAGAGAATCCGTTTTAGCACAAATAGTTCCTCCTGTTAATTTAAAGATTTGTGAGATTCCTTTAATTTGAGTAACCTGTTATTAGTCCAAAGGGGCTTTGTCCCTGAAGGACTATTAGTCATCCTGTTATCGAGGTTGTTTTCGTTTTGCGATTTTACGTTGAATTACTAAAAATGTCCGTTTCAATTTTCAAACTGTTGCCACCAAATGTTAGAGTCCTGCATTATATTTGAAGAAATTAAATAATGAAAAATCTGCATAAATGTATGCATATTTCTCGCATTGTGATAAAACAACGGTACATGGAGCCATCGAATTTTGAATGACGCAATCCTCCTACGAATATGGGCATGTGGAAGACCAAATTTAAAATTTGGAATTTGTTTTATTATAGATTTTATATTTTGTAAAACTTTAAAGAATTTTTTGGTAACAAACTCAACGATTTAAAAGCGAGCAATGGCAACACTCTACGGGGGGAAAAAACCTTTTTATCTCCAGCGCGCGGAACTGTGTATCCGAAATTCTAAAGATAGGCTCATTTTAAAATTATTTTTCGACATGGCTATTGAACTGAATTTTACGGTTAAAATGCAAACATGATATTTAATAAATAAAGGTAACACACAAAATGTTAAAAAAATGCCCCTTTGGACTTCATTTAAAATCTGAAACCTTTCATATTTTTTTTTTGGGGGGGGGTTTGAATTTGTACTGTCACTTCTCTGTTTCCATTTTGCCGCCAGAATCAAAATTACTTCGCGTGTATTTAAGTGAGGTTTTGAGACTGTTAAGACTGTTAAGATAGAGCTTGTTTTTCCCTCGTGGGCACGTTACTAGGTTTGCTACTTTAGGTAAGAATTCCTGTTTTGGGCCTTGCATTATATTTGCCGATAGTTGAAATTTATGCCGGGTAAGTTCTGAACCAACTTCGCGTAAATTGCCTTTGGATATTAATCTTTTGAAATTCAAGTTTGAAGTTCACTTACTAAAGTTCACAGTTTACTTTGAGTTTCTGGCCATAAATGCTACTGGAGCTATAAGCACCAGGAGTACCTTCTGTTCATCTAATTCAGTTTTGAATAAAGAGTCTTTTATAACTCTCCTAAGTTTATGTTGTTCTTAGAACTTAGCAATAAATCGCTTATCGTCTAAATAGAGTTTAACTTTAGATGTTACCCAAGAGAGTTAAACTTTACACACCTGAATAAAAAAGTTATTTTAACCCTTCTAAGACTAAGACTTCTAAGACCCAGCTAACAGTTAGAATAGGGTCGATCTGTACACCAGTGTGGCAAGAACTCAGGAATTAAACTACCATGGAAACGTGTGCTGCTTCACAGTTTCACAAAGGACGTTCACATCGAACATCTGTGCCTGTTCATATAAATTCGTAGAGTTAAACTTTTATATTATAACTGTATTTGTGAAATAAATTCATTATAATAGTCACAGGTATGTTTTCGTTCTATACTATTAGTTTTAAATAATTATTGATATCTAATAATTTGAGAAACAGCTCAATATTAAACAGTAGTGGCAGCAGTTCGATCATAGATAGTTCGAATGTGTGCCGACACAGCGTTCATATATCGTGGTATGAGTCGAACAAAGCTGTTCTTACCGCATTAATAGGAAATTTATGTACAGTCGCGTCCCGCATCTGTTGATTTAGTATCCGTAGTTTCAGTTATCGTGGCAGAAAGGAAGGAAGGAAGGAAGGAAGAATTGCCGTGAAGTCTGAAATGTAACCGAAATGGTAAAATTCATTATAACTCCACAGATACACGCAGTAGTGTCTTCCCATCCTCGTTTTGGGCTGTTTTAAATAGATAAGAGGAGTGGAAATAATCATTGTGGAACCTTATTGTAGTCTCGGATTATGACAAACTTTTAACTTCTCAAACTCAGAGCTTTCAGCCCAACCTGACGATTATAAATATGTTGGTTTGTAGTCTCGTTTAGCAATACGCACTGAGTATATGATTTATATTTATTTTTGTACAAATAGTTCTGTATTTAAATTTGTTTCCACTCCTGCATGTAGCATTCTTCCTATTCCTATTAATAACATATTATCGCAGTACGGCCCTGTTCTTAAAAGTTCTCCCTGTAAGTAATGAAGTAGAAATGTTGCAAGAAATGCTATTTCTTCGATCTTTTCCAAAGCCTCATAACCATGGTAACGACTGCTGTGGAAAAAAGGTTGAATCCTGTAATTTGCTAAAATCCTTCAATTTCCTCTGTGCAGTGATTGATGATCACGTTAATGAGAGGAGGATTGCTACGACCTTGAAGTGCCTGTTTGCAGACTATATAGGCTTATAGTAACTATAGTGGACTATTGGTACTAAGAAAATTTCTACAGTATCTGTAACAATATACTATGCTGAGCAGTACAAGGAGTATACATCTTAAGTTCTCGGTTTTCATTTATGGATTAAGTTAAAATATCCGAAACCTTTACCCTTCTTAGGTACGATTGAGAATGTAATCCAAAGTAGAATGTATTTTACTTTCCTTTATTTAATAACAGAGTCTATAATGCAGAGAATGTTTTGCTATTACTTTGTCTTATTGCATAGCTGCAATAATTATCAATTAAACTTAGCAACTAAAGGTATGTGTATTATACAGTTCTGTTATATATAACGTTCGCCATTACATGCATTAATTATGAACGTATTAACCGCAGATATAGGACCACTATTATAACGTGTAATTACATTTGATTAACGTTACATTGCAGCTCTAATTTTGAATACAAGTTTTGAACTTGAATAGATATTTATTTATTGAAATTTTTAATTAGAATAGAGAGCCAGGGAAGTTACATTACGACATATTTTTCAGATAAAGATGAAAGCGTCAAAGATTTCAAATGCCCGTACATCTGGGGTACTTTTCCTCATCCAGTGGATTGTTCTAAATATTACGTGTGTGTTTATAACATCCCAGCTCTCTTCGAGTGTCCGGGGTCGGACTTGTATGACGCAAAAGAAAAAAGATGCAAGAAAAAAAGCAAAGTTCGTTGTGGGAAAAGGTTAGACAGAGATGGTAAGCAAAGCTTAAATATACACTTATTTTTTTCCATTCAATATTTCATTGCTCTTTTGCACAATTCGCTTTCTTTGTACGTACATACACGGTGTTCATAAAATTCTTTACGTGCCTTTTATGTTTACAATCGTTCGTCGTAGACACGTGCTTCGAAATAAAAAAAAAATTGAATGACGCAAATATTTATGTTACGGTATTTTCAAACTAAAAATAAATCAATTTTGAAAAATTCTGAAATCTGATTTTCATACTTTGTCCCGTTTCATAATTCTGTATAGCCTGGCCTATAACGCTCACTTCTAATGCATAATAAGATCGAAAGTGCGCATTACGAGTGCGCATTATACCCCTGATATAAAAATGATAGATTTATATAAATATGGAAAAGATGAGCTCACAAAAATTAGATTTCTGCATGCACCTAAATGCTGTTTATTTAAAAGAAATGACATACCTTATGATCTTAAACATTTTGATTATCGGATAACATGAAAAGCTCGCCATATTCGTCTTTCGTTGTATCTTCAAGGACATCATCATATTCTGTTTCATCTTCACTATCACTGCTATTCTGATCCATAAATAATCATCTTCCTTTGCATCTAACTTATAAATTCGTAGAGTTAAACTTTTATATTATAACTGTATTTGTGAAAATAAATTCATTATAATAGTCACAGGTATGTTTTCGTTCTATACTATTAGTTTTAAATAATTATTGATATCTAATAAATTTGAGAAACAGCTCAATATTAAACAGTAGTGGCAGCAGTTCGATCATAGATAGTTCGAATGTGTGCCGACACAGCGTTCATATATCGTGGTATGAGTCGAACAAAGCTGTTCTTACCGCATTAATAGGAAATTTATGTCAGTCGCGTCCCGCATTGTGATTTAGTATCCGTTTCAGTTATCGTGGCAGAAAGGAAGGAAGGAGGAAGGAATATTGCCGTGAAGTCTGAAATGTAACCGAAATGGTAAAATCATTATAACTCCACAGATACACGCAGTAGTGTCTTCCCATCCTCGTTTTGGGCTGTTTAAATAGATAAGAGGAGTGGAAATAATCATTGTGAACCTTATTGTAGTCTCGGATGACAAACTTTTAACTTCTCAAACTCAGAGCTTTCAGCCCAACTTGACGATTATAAATATGTTGGTTGTAGTCTCGTTTAGCAATACGCACTGAGTATATGATTTATATTTATTTTTGTACAAATAGTTCTGTATTTAAATTTGTTTCCACTCCTGCATGTAGCATTCTTCCTATTCCTATTAATAACATATTATCGCAGTACGGCCCTGTTCTTAAAAGTTCTCCCTGTAAGTAATGAAGTAGAAATGTTGCAAGAAATGCTATTTCTTCGATCTTTTCCAAAGCCTCATAACCATGGTAACGACTGCTGTGGAATATATTGCATTTTAGATATATTGCATTTTTTGAATGACTTTTGAATTATGTCGGGTTTAACTTCATTTCACGCTTTTATTAACCACTCACACACAATTTATAGACTTGCTTGACGTAACAGATGTAACTTTGTTAATGCGTTTTTTTTTAACCTTCAATCCATGTATTCTTCTGTCGTTTTAAATTTTCTTTGAATGGTTTATTGATACAGGCATCTAAAAGCTGTTTGTTGATACAGGCATCTAAAAGCTGTTTATTGATACAGGCATCTAAAAGTCTAATACACACATGGCGTTAATCCACTTGGAATAACTGCCTTGTGTGTATTAGACTCTTTCAACAATTTCTTCGTATTATCGGTTAGATGGGATCTGAATCGTCCATCTATCCTTTTTCGTGAACATGAATGAGAACAAACAGCATTTGGAAAATTACATTTTAGCATCGTCCTGCTTTTAATAATAACAATGGATTTGAATTTTGTACCGTCCGCTAAGCAGGGAAACACTAGTGTGAGGTGAGATTTTTCCTGACCTGTTGTTTTTACGTGAACCGTTTTTTGTTCCTTTCATATCAATTGTTTTATTTCCTATCATATCAAACATTACTGAAGTTTCATCCATATTTCCAATATGTGACAGTAAATTATTTTTTTACCTTCGATGTCAATACCATACTTTTGGGAACTGATGAATTTGTTGTCCAAAACTTTTGGAAGACTTTGTGAAACTTTTGTTTTTTCTCGTAGAACTAAATTATTCCATGACATAAATGGACTACACCAATTCAAAGTTGTTTTAAAGTTTTCACTTTCATTTGCATTCATTTTTTCCCCACTTTAAGGCAAACGCTGTTTCTTGTTACAATTCTACAATTCTGGCGATTTTCGACACATTCTTAAGCCGTTTCGTTTTCCTTTACGCAAAGCACGTTTATTAATGATTGTGATTTAATTTTCTTTCACTTGCGTATGGAGTCTTCGCCAACACCAAACATCCCTGTTGCAGCCCGATTTACAATTTTTTTTTCAAATTTCATGATTTTGCATTTGAAACAAGAACTGTGTTTGTTTCGTTTGGCAGCTGCCATATTTACCGCTGTAGCAACTGTATTTCATTTTAAGCAAATGTAATTTTTTAATGTTTTCGATGCACACTTCAAAATCACGGGTTCAAATGATTACATAAAGGGAAAACATCTGATTCCGAATTCCGCAAAGTGCATTCTTGCTCCAAATTAGGTCCCCCTTTTCTCGAAACCCTAAAATAACATTCTTGTGCACACCTGCATTGAATACAACCCATCCTCTTTGCAGAATTACTTACTTCCTCAAACATTTTCCTCATATACATATACTTCCCGTTATCGCTTCTCAAATTCAGTATGCAATCATTCCAAAGGAAAAATTTTCGAATGAACGACTTCAAATGATAAGAGCATTGCACATGTACATTTCAGGTCCCTTCTGCGCGTTATACAGCGAATATATCTAAAAATTAAAAAATGTAGTTTGAAATTACAGGTGGGCGTTATACGCCGGAATATAGGGCAGTTATATATAGTAAACATTAATACTTATTCTAAAAAATGAAATACAAAATACAGGACTCCTGTTCAACAAAAACTGACCGAGTACGAATTTTAATTGATTTTTCAATGTCAGAAAACTAGATTTAACGCTTTCCTTGAAAAGAAGGTTAAAAAATAAACGAAGATAATTCAAAGTTGATATTTTTTCCTGTTTAACCGTTTCAGTCCGGCGCGCGCTTAACTTGTCGTATGCCAAAAATACGGCGCAGCACGATAGCGCTTCTCTTGTTTTGTATCGAGAATGCAAACACGCTGCTGTTGGTTAGTATTCTTGAAAAAAAAAATTATTGAAAAAAAAAAAAAAAAAAAAAAAAAAACAAATAATTATTGAAATATTTAATTGGTTTCGTATCAAAAGGGGGGCATGCTTTGGTCCAGGTACTTCAGAAAAAGTATTCGATTCGTTCGAAAAAATCGTATCCACGGGTAAAAACTCATCAATAATATCGTCATCGGAGGTACTTGCAGTTACTTCATCATCATCACTGCTATCACTAATAACTCGTACTCTCTTAGATCGAATGATGATGTCACTTCCACTATCACTTTCAAGGTCATTACTATACTCTTCATTATCACTTCTCGTAACGTAGTCACTTTCAAATGAATCAGAACTTGACATGAGTTATTTCGTAATTATCAGTATAACACTTAACAAAAAAAATGAAAACAATTTCCAATTCCTATAAAATACTTGCTACTGATATCACTACAACTGCTCTCAATAATTGCGTAAAGTATACTAACCAACAGCAGCGTCTTCTCATTCTCGATACAAAACAAGAGAAGCGCAATCGCGCTGCGCCGTATTTTTGGCATACGACAAGTGAAGCGCGATACCGCTTCGCCGGACTCAAACGGTTAATGTCATTCAGTGATACTTTTTTGTGATTTACTGGTATGTAACATCATTTATAATTTAAGTTTAACGTGTAAAAAAGAATGTTAATACAAGTTATTTCTAGGTTTTTAAGAGCACCCCCGCCGAAAAGAATAAACGTTGATAATATTTACACGCAATTTTATTTCTTTAGGACCCTAAAATAATTTACGGTCCTAATTATTTTATGGTCCTTATTATTTAATTTAATTCTTTAAGACCATTTTAAAAAAAATTAACCAGAAATATTTTTTTCCATTTTTAATTTATGCTTGCCCTGGTTCGAGTTGGCTTTTGTGTGCTTATATTTGAAGCCTGTCACTATTTCCTAAAACAGAAATTTTATAAGATTTTGGAGATAAGATTTACTATTTTGAAAAAATTTGCATTGATAAAAATTTTTAACGACAATCTGTATATCAATACTCGTCAGTTTATTGTCATCAGAAACTGCTTTCTGGACTGATATTACATTTTTAGTTGCAAACAAATTTTAACATTTCATTCCAAAATTTTATATGTTTCCTGAATTTTCAGAAAACATGTACTTAAATTTTAAAATTAAATATCATCATCAATTTTATCGACTAACAGTCAAACGTTTTGTGTTTTATTTTTCATATTAAGTATGGAATTTTACTAAAGATAACTGTATGCAACAGAGGATCTTAAAAGAAAGTTATATTTCTTAATTTATGTAAAATTGAGCCTTAAATTTAAAAAATGCGAAAACATGATTATTTTTGTTATTGCAATAATCCTATAAATTTTTTTTTTCAATTTTACTATTTCTCCTCTCTATCCTAAAATTATTAAAAGATCTTATAATAATTTTTTTCCGAATTGGGAGGAATATCGTGTAGTAATGGTGAATGGAGTGCAGGGGCAAAAAAAGGTTGAGAACCATTTCATAAAATTATGTGCCTTATTTAAGAAACTTTCTAGTTGCAAGTGTCTATCTAGGATTAGTTTTCAATAAAATAAATTATAGTCATGTTTGCTGGAGAACCTTTACATCTATAAAGACGTTCTTCAGTATAGAAAATAAGATGTGTATATTTGATTTAGTCATAAGAACTGAGGCCATTTCTGAAAGGATTTTATCACGAGTGTTCTTATTTGAAAGATACTTTTCTTTGCCTCTGCATGGCAACTAGAAGCGCACTGATTTAGAGAAAACTAAGTAGCAATAGTGTGAACTTTAAAACTTGCTTTCGATTTGTTTGATACCACTTGAATGTTGTTGATAAGATGCTATATAGATTTTAGATTATATTAATTTGTTTCTGTATTCTAATAAGTTCCTTTCTAAATTAGGTTGAATGTTGGTTTAGATAAAAGTACCATTGAACCACACCTGCAAAAATTTATATGCAGCATTTGGATTCATCGTAAAACTTCGTTAGACACGCCATGCTATTATTGCTTATTTGTACAGTGAGCTTTCGAAAATTTATTCAGTATCTGAAAGAGGCAAAAATAGTTTAATTTTATGTTTTGAATATTTAAAAAAGATTTGAACTTAAAATGTAACAGCTGAATAATATTACACTTTTAAATCACACGATAAGCATAAATACACTCGATAAAATAAAAACCCACGATAATCGTATTTTACTATCGTAATTCTTAATAAATTAAACTGCTGATAATTTTTATTCGTATGATTTTGATATCTTTGAGCTAAATAAGATCCCAGCTACGAATTTTTCAGTTATGAGCATTTTATGCCTGTTACAAAGAGGAAAAAATATCATTATTTAAAAGCTTTCATTTATTTAAAAGTAAAAGAAATGGTTGTTAGCATTATATATGAGATGTTAATGTATCCAGTCTATCAACAACATCAAGCTAGTGAATTTGCACTTGACAAGATATGTGACAGTGTAGAGACATTAGCTATTTTTGGAAGCAGGCAAGATGAAAAATTAGCAACGCCTTCGCCGGAAATCGAACCGCGGACCTCTCAATTACGCGCTGCGCGTGCAGACCACTACACCACGAAGGCTCCCTAAGAAGGCGGGAGAAATACCTTATATACTCGCCCTTTTAAAGGGAGACTGGGGTTTTTAGGGAACCCAATCCCCAAATTCTGGGTGAGGAGAATCGTCATCCAACACCCTTTTTTAGTTCGAGCGGCACTGTACAAACATTAGGTATTTTTGGAAGCAGGCAAGATGAAAAATTAGCAATCGAACCGCGGACCCCTCAATTACGCGCTGAGCGTGCAGGTCACTTACACCACGAAGGCTCGCTAAGAATGTGGGAGAAATACTATTTTGCATTTTAGGGAATAAAGAAATTCTCTGTCTTTTTAGAACATATGCAAGAGTAGAGTAAAATATAATTTTTTTTACTGAACTTTTTTTCCATTCGAACAAAGAACTATTCTTCTAAATCCCCCCTTTTTTACGATAATGTATATGTATTATATTACCAGTAGAACCAATTAAATGCTTTTTGAACACATTCGTTACTTTTTTTTTATCTGGAGAGATAATATAGAGTATTGCATTGTTACATTAATGTAAGAAGTTATACCCACCAGGAGGTGTGAAACTGATGTTACTCAAGCACAGTACAAATGAGGGGAATACGATCTGATTCGCCTAGTCTGAAAATAGACCTTATGCTCTTGTTTGGGTCGCTTCTAAGTTCACCACAAGACATATAGAATTAAGAATTCACAAAGCATAAAATCATTAACTTCTCAATAAGTCAAAATGAATAAAATTACAAGTAATTAAAAAACTACATATCAGTTCTATAAAATTCTAAAATCACTAAAATACGAATAAAAATACAATAAAAGACAATTTTTAGTTAATACAGTTATAATTTTGATTATATCGAAACACCACATGCACTCCGTTTACCGTTAATAACTCTTACAATCTCTTTGGCAAACTTATATAATTCATTATAACTAATATTTTCAAAATTCGCAATTTTCAATTGTTGTCGTATACACTTTCTGTTAATTTACATTCAAAGTGTTACGCGAAGTATTCCGCGGAGCCAGGTGAATTACAAACTAAGCACAATGAAATTTCCTGTATACCGAATCTACTATGGAACTCGGAAATGTACCATGATTTGTTACAAACTGATTTTACATCTATTTAGCATTATTGGCATTTTTTTAGATATTTTTACATTTTTCAATAAGCCTTTATTTCTTATTGAAGTATTCATTCCATTGTTGCGACCATTTATCAAGCTCATATTTTTGCATTACTCTAATTGTATATTTCTTTGAACCGGATATTTCTATAAAATTTTCATTTTCTAGCATGGCCGCCTTCTTAGCCAACACGTCCGCCCTCTTGTAACCAGCAAAGCCCACATCAGTTTTAACGCAATGTAACAAAATATAATGTTTCTTCTTTAAATTTCTTAAATTTTCTTTGATCTCATTAATAAATGGATTTTTTGAAACCGGTCTAGACAATGATTGTAACAAGGAAAGGCTATCTGTATAAATATTAACATGAGTAAGAACACTTAAGCTTCAATCCACATCAAGGCTTTATTGAATGCTCAGCATTCGCATTGAAACACAGAGTTATAATGTTTCAGTCTATAATTTCCACAAGCAGTTTCAATTCCATAATAAAATACTACGAATGCTGACCCATAATTTTTATACTGTTCAGGAAGCTGTCAGTATAAATGTCTATTACTCTATTCTTTGGCTCGTATTTATCATAAGTAATTGACAGGTTTGTAGATGGATGTATACTATATATATTATAAACTTCATATATTTTGCTAACAAGTCATTTCCATACAGTTAAAAATCCTGTTTCTGTGTTCTAATCATAAACTTCTCTTAAAAAATTCATAATAAATTGAGACAGTATCAGATGAGAGTGGACGTAGACGAAAGCAGACGGGCTTGGTCAGAACGGAAGCCGTAAGGCAGATGACTCCTACTGGAGAAAGGCGATTAAGACTTACAGGACTTTGGAAGATGGTCTTCCAAATGTTTATTTGAGGATATTTGAACTTTGTGCCAGAGATGATGGAGTACGGTGTGAGCAAGGACTGCATAAACTATTCTGTGAAAAACCTGTGAATGGACTATCATAGTCTTGTGAGGTTGCCAGCAACTTTGTACTAAATCCTAGCTACGAAGTTTTCTTATTTAATCACAATAGTTTATTTAACAAGTAGTTAATGAAATAGTATAGTTTAAATTTTGTATTGTGCCATCCGTTTACACCCCACATTAAGTGGATTGTTTTTTTATTTTTCAGAAATGAGAACTAGTAGAAGGTCAACTGATCTACCTCGGACAACTCCTATTCAACCGGAGACAGTAGAAACCGAAGAGCCTACGACTACAGGTGAAACTAATAGATCATCTTTTGTGTCATAGTATTTTCAGTTCTCAAATGTCTAAACAAATATTACATTCTAGAAGTATTCTAGTCTTTAAACGTTTCTTAAAAATGAAGACGAATTGTGGCATAAAATATTGATTTCAGCAATAAAAAATAAGTTAAATAAAAGTTTTATAAAATAAGCTCTTATTTATAAGATTATTCTTCGTTATTTAGGCGCCCATGCCTTTTCCAAAAATTCTGCTACAACAAATGGTAGAAAAAAAATCTAAAGATTTTACCTAAAAATCAGAAATTACATTAAAAATTTCATATAAACTGCATTTAGAAGATTTTTTCCCATCCTAAGTCCCATGTTGTAAAGAGTAACATTTTGTTAATTTTTTTAATTATTTAAAATTGAATTTTAATTTTTCAGTAAACGAAGATATGTGCAAAAAGTCGTTTCAATATATCGTATCTCTGAACCATGTTTTATTGTCATCCAGACTCTGTGTGTGTGCAAAATTTGAGCTGGATAACTTATCACCAGAGAGTTAAAAAATTGATAGTAAAGTTTTGACTATAGTGTGAAAGATCTCCAATGAGTTAAAAATAGGTTATAAAAACTTGGCTAGTTTAAAAGAAATCGAAAAAGAAGTCAAATTAATACTTTTATCATTCTTGTTTTAAAAGTGAGTGAAAATGTTTTTATTAGAAGTTGTGAAATTTTCAAAAATTTTACATCCTGTACATTTTTAGTGGTTGAAATTTTAAAATAAGGGATATCAAATAGCCAAAAAAATCGAATGGTATTCTAATATTCGCCAAAAAATTCAGAAAACAAGTTACGAACTTCATTACAACAATTTGACAGATTTCTTTCCTGTTTATCCGAAGGCACAAAAGTAAAATTTTGACATTTTTAGTTTGTTCGTTAAATGAAATTATGCGCGAAATATCGTTTAAGTATTAGTATTAGGTTAGTAATACTATTATTAAGTATTAGGTTAAACAAAATCTAAAATTGCTTACCACATTGCATTGTCATCCACAAACAGTGTGACTACAGATTTCGAACTCCATAACTTATCAGGAAGTAATTAAAAAATCTATGGCAAACTTTTGACCATTCCAACAGACACCATGAATGAATTAAATAAAAGCTTATAAAATACTCGGAATTATTTGTATGCAAAGTAAATGCTGTAACCTAATGGATGCCATTCCAATGTTATTTTTTCTTACCACTAGAGATTCCCAAATTTGGTTGTCCATTTCCTAATGGTCGTTATCCTGATCCCGATGACTGCTCCCAGTACTACGAGTGTAATGTTTCAGTACCCACTCTTCACAAATGCCCGGAATCTTTTCTATACGACGAGCGAAAAGAGACTTGCATGCAAGACAAACTTGTGAGATGTGGCGATCGACCAGGAGGTATTGGGGGAGGTAAGATATCCAGTCAAGTGGCAAAAGTTTCAATACGTTTTCGCTGGCTTCATTTCTTTTCAGAATGATCAAGCACTTATATTGAGAAAAGAAAGTTCTTTTAATTTTTTTATACTTAATAAACTGTAAAAGAATTTAACAAAGGATTTTAGAATTGTATATATTTTCTTAAAATTTCACTTTTGTAATTTGGCAACAAGTATACTGTATAATACATAATGTGATAAATCACATGCATATCTTAAGACATTACTAATTTTCTAGCCAATAGCAATAAAGTTGGTATTCCAAGAGAACCATACGAATATTTTATTTCCAAGTGTATATGAAGATTGTTTTAATTTTTTTTTATGCAATGTAATTTACTAGGAGTGTATTAATATCAAGCCTGAAATACCGTATATACATATTTTAATCAGAAATATTACGTTACAGAGGAATCAATGCTAAATTTTCTTAAATTTGAATCCTAAAAAGCTCTCTAATCTCTCAAATCTTTTGAACCCTGAAACTATCAAATCCTTCATATAAAAAAAGAAGAAACCAATTACTTAACATTAATAGTTTTTAATTAAATAAAATTTCATATTTACGTTTGTTTTATTAATTTGATATTTAAGCTTTTTTATTTTATTAAGAAGATATTTTTGAAATTTTGTATATGATTACATGTGATTAAAACTCTTGTATCTTGAGATTCATCCTCTCAACATAATTTCACAAAAATATTTGAGAAAAAATTCACCTTTTTTACAATTCCCAAAATCTTCAAAATAAAAAGAAATATTGAGGGACACAATTATTTCAAGAGTTAATAACTGAATATTAATTTAATACCAGGCAAAAATGAAACCTTAGTTTAGCATAGGTTTTTATTATAACTTTTTTCCAAGATGATCAGACAGATCCACTTGCTCAGCCAAGATTTCCTATAAACTTTCTATCATAAACATTTTTATTTTGTAATTAAGAGAAATATCTGCGATGTACAATAACACGATGTACTTCTGACAATAAACCTCAGACATGGAAGAAAATTTAAGTATTCAGTGATGTCTTATCAGAGAATGTAGTGACAAATAATAATTTTTGTGTTTATATTTTTGTATTTGTTCTGGCGATAGCAAAAGGGAAAATGTTAATGCGAGTTAATGTTAATGTATTATTTGGAGGGGGGGAGGAGGAAGGTTAATTAAAACATCTACTGAAATTTTTAATAAACTCAAAATCAAATTATATTTTTTGAAAACTGTTGTCTATCAATCGATATAAATTTATACTTTTTTCTATCATGAATATTTTGTGTGAATTGATAAACTTGCAGATTCATATGCATATTGTTTATCAGTTTTGAATTAAATTATTTGGCGACAGCTGTGTTGCAATAAGCATCTTTATCTTAAATTTATAGCATAAATTATTACATCATTTCCAAAATATTGATTAGTTGAAACTCGTAGCTTCAGAAAAATTTTATGATACTGTTTACTTACCAACTACGTAACAGGCTCGTAAGGTTTATTTTAATTAACATGTTATTTCTTATGTTAATTCTTTCCTGTGCTTCTGATTTTCTTATCAGTTCTCCCAGAAATAGAAATTGAGTGAATTTAAATAGCGAGCTAGAATGTAAGTTAGAGAGAAACTATTTGAAGCTTCAGTCAGTAGAACCGAAACTCTCGTATCTCACCTACTGTAGTAACTGCGTTTGATTTTCGACGAGTTTTGCTTTTTGCTAGAATTCTCGTTAATAGTGGTTGCGCTTGGTGTAGAGTCGGGTTATTACTCTCTAATCTACTATTCGATTGATAATTTTTCGAAAAACCATTGCGAAAACCTCTTTATTTGGAGCATTAACCAAATTGTTACATGGCTTGAAGGGAGCAACTTTCGACTTTCGCATTTCAGAATGCTTCTTCGACATCCAGTGTGTCAGTGAACAACATCTGTGCCAAAATGGAAGGCCTCCCAGTTTCAATAAAAGCTGTTAAACACGATTTTTATCAAATATTTTTATACCATAATTAATTATTAGGTGATCATAAAGCACGATAAATGAAACTGAAACATTTTCGAAAAGACTTGAGAGTTTTAGATTATGTTCAATATATTTGTGATACATGAACTTCGGGCAATTTTGCAAAATATTCCTGCGATTAAAACTTCCAAAGATTCTTCCTTTTCTTTTCAATATTTAATGGAATAATTTTAATCTTTCTGGACTTCTGATAATTTTTATAATGAAATTTCTTTGGTCTATTAAAGCATTTTTCGTATATTGCTTTTATCCCTACTGGCATCTAAAGAGCTCCAAATTTAGAATAGTATTTAAAGTTTGAACGCATATTTCATAGCTATTTTTTGGCTGCTGTATGAAAATGGGATTGGCATATTCAGAGCTTTGTCTTGACTGTAAATGTATTAAAGGCATACGTCTAGTCAATGAATTATTTATAAATACAGGATTTAAAGTATAACACGTAAATGTCAACATAGCTTCATGCTAGAATTTAAAAAAAAAATTAAATTTCTAAATGCTGTACTTTGCTTGTATATATATAGGGTGACTCGAAAGTATCTGATAATAATATAAAGATATGTAGAGAAGACCGAAATAAACAGATTTTATAATGTAAAGTGCGTCCAGAAATAACGCATCCAGGTAGCATACAGAACGTTGCTGAACGGTAGATAAAGCATTCTGCTGATGTAAATCGTCTTTCCTATGTAGACTTGGAGAGGTTATGCATCCAAATCGTAAAATCAACCTTGTATTTAGCGTAAGTATAATGAAACACTCAATCGATTTCGAGGGCAACTAAAGGTCCCTCCTCATCAGGAGAAAGAAGAATTTCACCGTTTCTGATATAAGATTTATGTTCCTTGATACGAAACTTCAACGCTCTTTTTGTTTGGCCTATATATCTTAAACCACACTGACACGATATACTATAAATTCCCCAAGAATGTCAGAAAAGGCGAAATTAACAAGTCTTCAATAGCGTATCATAGTTGGACATTTAACCATAATTTTGACTTTGGGTCTGCAAAAATTATCCAAAAGGCTTCTTCCATAGGTGAATTGGATTTTCTTGAGGCTTTTCACATCCACAAAGATTTAGCAGGTTTAGTTAATGATTTGAAATCCAATCTAGTCCTTCTTAATGCCTTTAAAATTCTACTATCTTAATTCAGTTATTTTTGCCGATAGATGGCGTTACCTCGCGTTTGGTACTACCAGAGGGTATAAAAATCCGTTCAGTGGTTGCTTTCCATTATTTGAAGTTCAGATTTTGAGCGTGAAGGTGCATTTGCCCCTCGCTCCCTATTTTAACTTTTTTTCTTGTTTTTTCCCTAATTTTTCTTGTCCTTTATGCTTGATCAGATAGCCTGGCTCAGTAAAAGTAGGCGGCCAGTGCAACTCTGATTAAAAATCCAGTTATAATCACGTGCAGTGCTGATAAGGACCACGTGTTTCTGAGACTCCTTCTCCTTTATTTTCTTCTTTCTCCTGATGAGGAGGGACCTTTAGCTGCCCTCGAAATCGATTGAGTGTTTCATTATACTTACGCTAAATATAAGGTTGTTTTTACGATTTGGATTGTCACATTAGCATGTTTCTCTTTTAGTCTAGGTTATGCATCATTATACGAATGCTGAGCCCATCAATATGGATTTCAGCTACACGGCCGCTGACGGAAGCCCTGCAGCTGCTCAAAGAAAGTACTCGGGAATCTGTATATTTCCTTTAAATAAATGCTTCGTTTATTCCGCAGTCTCGTAAATAAAATACTTACATGTAAGCTCCAGGTTTGCGTAGCAATACATTCCGTCCGAAATCTGCGTTGGAATGGTTATTTGCGTTAGCAGAATGCTTTTATTCATAACAAACAACATTGTAATACCTACTGTTGTTGCTGTTACTTATCTCATTTGTCTGACAATAACATCCAGGACCATGAACTTCTTCATCGTGGCGAGCACAGCAAGATTGCGCCTGTCGTTGGCAAAGCCTTGAGCACCATACAGGTGACAGTACGACTTCGCTCAGTTCCACCCCCAATTTTGCTGGAGAACACCACAGGAGGGGTAGGATCATCCAAGCGGCTCCCACCTCTCTTCCCATACTACCAACCTCTCGGGAGAACTTTCGGCTTGCCGTATTTAAAGTGCCCCATGCCGCACGGACACTATACATTTCAAAACATCCGTGCCTTCTCCGGGATTCGAGCCTGGGCAATTCGGTACGGCAGTAGGCTTGCCTAACCGCTGTACCGTCTGGGCGGCTTGTAACTCCTCAGTACACCATTCCCACGCATACATTCCATCGTACAATTTTCTTACTTCGGTCTACTTTACCTACCTTTCTATTTTTGCCACATATTTTTGAATCACCCTGTACAGCTAAGAAAGCGACAAATTAAATTGGATACATTCCATGACAATGTTTGTTTTCACAATATTAGTGTTTTATTCATGCACTACTTCTAAATACAAGGTAATTTAAAACAGCCTTACTAACAAGAAGTCAGAAATTTTGCAATTGCAAACTTGTATGCCTGTGATGAAAATTTTCGCCAATTAATGGTTTTCATTCTTTCCAATAATATAAGAAACGAATGTACTAAGAATTACTTAAATGTATTCTATATCAGCATATTATCTCAAATTTATACTTTTCTTAGATGACAAAGATGAAAAAGAAAAAGAAAAAGAGAAAAAAGAAGAGCTTCGATGCCCTTATGTTTGGGGTTCATTTCCTCATCCTGATGACTGCTCGAAATATCTCATTTGCATCTACAATGTTCCTACCCTATTCAGTTGCAGAAAACATGAACTCTACCATGCACTTTTCAGAAGATGTTTACCGAAAGAAAAGGTTACTTGTGACTACAGAATTAACCCTGACGGTAAGTTATTTCATATCTGTGAGTATAATTAAAAACGAAATCTAAAATGGAACATTAATGTACGACGACTAGCCGACTAACCAACGCGCCCAGTGAAAAAACAGTACAGCACATTGGTCTCGGAGATAGATCTATGTTTTTGCGTTCGATGCGCTATTGTACTTCTACACCTCTGAAATTGGTTCGATTTTCAAGGCCACATAAAGACACAAAGCCACTTAAAGCAGCCAAGGTACAACTCCTACCTTCACTACGAGATGGTGCCACCAGACGGCAGCAGAAAAAGGGCGAAAGCCGAATTCGCGCAAAAGTTAATTCAAATATAAGCATATTTATCTGTACCATTGAATTTTACTAAGTAGCTAATTTTAGCATCTGAAAGCATTCCTTCTTTCTTTTTTTAATTGTTTTGATCATATTCAAGTTCCAGAATCATGTCCTGCGAGAATATCAAATTCGAGATGAAAAACGAAGCTATTTACCGTTTCATTTGCCAAAAGACCTTTCATTTAGCTCTTTTTATATACAAGATGTTTCAAAATGGTTTTACGATTGAACGTCTATTACACTGGTTTGTGATTTGTAGATTCTATATCTTTAGTCTGGGCAACCCAAACCCAGGGGCGGTGCAAGGTTTTTTTTTTTTTTTTTTTTTTTTTTTTTTTGACCACGTGGTGTAATTTCTGAGGTTCCTAAATTCTGCCGCCGTGTGCCTTCGCATATTCTAAAAATCTTGGTAACTGAACTGGTTCTGGAACCGGCCTCGCCCTTGTAGTCACATGATGCATTTTACTAAAATTTATGAAACTAAAATTTTTATACTTGATTCATTTTTTTTAAAAAAAAGGGCTTATTCACTGCTGACTGCTTAATGACGGATGCTGTATATCATCAAAATTGCCAAAGACAAATTCGGAACAAATTTATTGGTGGTGGTGTGGAATATAAGTAACGTTAAAGACTATTTATTACACATGGAGAAATGGATACATAAAGAGCTGCATATACATACTAAGTTTCTGTGTGCAAATATTTAAAATACATATTTCTCACTAGAAAAGCAATTAAAAAAAATTAGTTTCCAAATTACCCTTCGCAGACATGCTAAAGCTCCATATTCCGCGTTCACAGAAATACATAAAAAGCATAAAAAGCATACTTTCTTTTTACAGGGCAAATTAAAAAACTTGAATTCAGAATTCGCTTGGTACTTGCCCTGTACAAAGGAAGGAATACGTATGCTTTTTGTACAAAATTGTATTTCTGTAAATACGAACCATGGTTTCTGTGTGTTCATTTTAGTGCAATAAAAAATAGAAAATAATCTGATATCTTTTTTTTTTTTTTTTTTGCATTGTCTGTTTTAGCAATGCAAAGAAAAATTTCAGATTTTCAGTAAATTGACGATATCGTCCCTTTTTTAATTCATTTCACCATTCGAATGTGCGCCTAAATAACTTCGCATACTTTTCATATGTTCCTCATTTCGGATGAGGTGGGAACAAGAGCTGCATTATTCATTTCATTTTCGTCGTCGGAATCTGCATTAATGATATTTTGATCGATTATCTGCATCAATGATATAATTTCTTAATCACAAGGCTGAAAGACACTTGTATTCGGAGGCAAAAAGATAAGCTTCATAGCTTTCAATACGACGTTGGGGGTGAGCCTGACAATTATCAATTATCAATGAAACCTTACGCTTTTCTCTTAAGAATCCCACATTTAACTTTACGGAATCGGTGAACATCGTAGCAACCATCCATGCCTTTTTGTTTGCTGTATATTCGACCGGTAATGTTCTTACATTCTCAAAATTCTTGGTATAAGGTATTTCTCCTGCTTTCTTGACATGCCTTCGTGGTGTGGTGGTCTGCACGCTGGGTGCGCATTCCAGAGGTCAGTGGTTCGATTTCCGGCGAAGGCGTTGCTCATTTTTCAGTTTTACTGCTTCCAACATACCTAATGTCTCTACAGTTGTTGAAAATATAGAGTTAGCAATATCAAAATCTTTATAGCTTTCCGTATTCGTCTTCTGTTTTTGATCAACAGCCTTAAGAAGTTCAATCTTCATTTTAAGCGAAATAGCAGTTTGCTTTCCTTCTGAGCTCTTTGCCATTGTGCTAGTAAAAATTTCTTCTAAAATGAGGGGTGGGGGAACGGTGGCGTGGCAAATGCGGTCAAGAGCAGGAGACTGACGTTAATTACGGAAGGGGAAAGTAAACGGCTGTGTCAGGGATCATAAGGGGAGATATATTTTTTTTAAAAAAGTGTTTTTTGGCTAGTTTATACATTCAAAGGAAAATACAAGTTACTCACTGAACTTCGCACATTAATCTGAATAACCTTTAAACCCGATGAACAGTACATTTGTGTGACAAGGCGAGCTTTCTGACTGTACAATCTGTTTTACATTTAGCGAGCTTGTGCCGAATAAGTTTATTCGCTATTTTATGTAATTTCTGCAATATTTTGTAATTCTTTTATTTTTTTTTCATTTAAATTTTATTTTTTTTAAAGATAATTTCTTTTTATTCACAAATATTTATATTTTCTATTTTTCTAATAAGTGAAACATTTAATTAAATTCTGATATTTTGTTTTCATAAGATAAAGTACGAAACCTTTGTTAAAATTTTCATAGCTCACTGTAGTTCAGTGACCGTATTTTAATGTGCCATTTTATTCGCGAGTCCATTCATCCGATTTGAAACTTGGAAATGAATCAACAAATCGATCTTTCCATTCAATTGGACCTATCGACTTGAATACAGTGACCCTGAGTAAACGGGAAGTATCTTTCGTAAATATAAAAACCATTATAAGCGCATTTCTAAATAATAATTTTAAAATATAATTTTCACAGCTGTTTGACGCTGCTTTCATTTCTTAATTATAAATACAAATATATGTACTGAAAATTACGAAGAGAATAACACATACGTATCTGTTATTACGAGAATAAGTATTGCTAATGTATGCGATAGGGCTTGAAAACTAATTTTGATTCACCTTTCTTTTCTTTATGAATGACGAATATCTGTTTGCCATACACGTGATCAAATAGGGAATAAGTGTTTAATCCGTAAGATTATAAGTATTGATTAACATTTCATATAACTACTTTTAATTGAGGCTTTCTAAGAGCAATCCCCTTAATTTTGACTCGCAGCTTTTAATTTTAGACTAGGATATGAGCATAGAATCTACCTTTAAACAATGGGATTTTTTTTTAAACACTGTGGCATGACAGTGCCTAGTAATAATAGTTTTAGCGTCACTAAGAATCATTTTCTGGATTCTCATATTGATTTTTTTCCAAAAGATATTAAAAGCTGCAATTGACGAGTATGAGCAATGCATAATACATACATATATAACGTAAGCATACCATAAAGAAAAATGAACCCCAACAAAAGCTGATCGACTGCTATTAAACTCTAAAGAGGGGTTTATCAGAGGGAAAATGGCAATTAAAATCAATTAAAATTCCATTTAATTGATTTTAATTATTTATTTACTGTATCGATTTATTATTAATTCTAATGGATTGGAATATTTGAATATGAATTAGCTGAATATTTAAGAAAAATATTATGACTGCGAGAATAGGAAAAAAAAAACATTTTTTGAATATTTGCTTTCTTATAGAATGCAGATAAATTCATTTTTACTCAATGAAAATCCAAATTTAGTAGCTAATTAATCTGTCCTGTATCGAGCACTTTAGTTCAGTGATCCGTATTAATGTGCGCTTTTTTTTTAAAAAAAATTTAAATGTTTCAAGAATAATTAGAAAAGGGCATAACTCTCTTCTTACCCTTAAATTCTTCAATAAAAAAACTGCATTTTCAGCTATAACCAAGTGAAATAATTTTTCTAAATATAATTCAAAGCATGAAAAATAAGGTACATAAACAGCTTGGAAATGGAACTAGCATTGAGATTCTCTTTAAGAAATATGGTGAAGCTTAGCAAAAAGTCTACGAAGTGAAGTAATTCCGTAGAATATTTTCTCTTTATGATTAAATTGCACTCAATTATACTTTATAAACGACATGTAAATACTGATTTAATGTATATGTGTGGATGTGTGTGTGTGTAGCTCACTAGCGGCTGAGCTGGTAAAGTCGTTGAACCTGGCAGGTCGATCCGGGGTTCGAATCCGGATCGACGGGGATGGCTGTATTGGCGTTTTCGAGGTTTTCCCCACGTGTAACGTGCATAAGAGTCAGTTTTGCTTAGAAAGTTCTCCACGAGGCACCCTTACCCTTAGGCAAATAACAGTCGAATGCTTTGCTATAATCAAAGAAACCAGACCAAACAAGTGATATAAGTAGCTTAAAAACTGCTATATTTTACGTATACTTATCAAGTAATATTTCAATATATATAATGATTAAAAGAAAGGAAAAGTAGGATCCTAACTGATTGTATATAATGTAATCCCTATGAAGGCCCTAACAATTCTTTCTCACTTAAAGTCGTAACCCAAAAAGAGAACAAGTAAAATTAAACTTCAGATACGTATACAATACTGAATCTAATACAAAAAATACAAAATATAAAAATAAATTATATATGTACGAAACCTAACTAACCATTTATATTGATATTACGTAAATATACGTATGGTAATGAACATTGTATAATAAAGATATTTTATACCTTGTTCTATATTTGGTTCCATTTATATATACCTATACATAGTTATATAAAATTTAAGGATTCCATTTAAGGATTATAGTAGTAGTTAATACTACTACATATAAAACACAAAAGTGCATCAATAATGTATCTTTCTGTATTATTTAACTTCCTTCTTAAGAATTTTCTGCATTATGGTTTGCGTTATTTTATTCTAAGTCTCAAATAAAAACAACTATTGTTTATATGTTATTAGAAAATTAACCAAAAAGCAGCGACCACAATGTAATTGAGAAACAGTCTTTAGCCGTGAAAAGGTTGAAAGCCATTCGGTTATGACTATTATCTCACATACTGAGCTACTTCGCATACATGGAACATAGCATTCGAAATGAAAAACTCAATATTTACTACAAATTCATTCGTGTAACAAATATCTGTCTTTCTACACCTATGGCTTTAAAAAAAGATGTTATTTATCTTACAGTTTATCATTAAGTAATACATTTTCATTGTACAAAATTGCATTAATTCGAAGAATTCAATTTGTATTTTCCTCTGTATAAAACTGAATGTAGAGAAGTTAGATGTTTAAACGACCCCCAAGACCCCGAGCAAGATTACTCCCTACTTTTCAGCCCCCCTGTGAAAAAAGGGGTTCTAAATTTACGACCTGACCGCATATAAGGGTATTTCGGGGGAACACAAAACAAACTCACTGATTTTTACTCGCACTGCGATGTAGTCGACCGTGGGCCCCGGGATGCGTAAGCATATGCCCTGAACAAGTGATCAGCTTGTTGCAGGACTCCCAGGAAATAGAGGTCAGCGGTTATTATTTTAATGACGATTCTTATTATTAAACTAATTATTAATTAATTATTATGGCGATTATTATTATTAAACTAATTTTCTATAGAATAAAGTTGCATATTTTATCAGTTATAAAATTAATCATCTAAGCCTTCTTCGTTCTTTTTAATAATAATGTTTTATAACCAGTATTATGAATTTCATGCTATTAATATAATTAATAAAAATAGTTTTCAATGATATATTATACTGTCCTTACATTATGATACTGTTTTTTCATAATCTTTCTTGTGAACTAAAAATAAAACACGTAAAGTTCGATAACAACACAAATTGCATGTTTTTTTCAATTTTGAGAATTTGTTAAAATTATATTCTTAAATTTTTATTTGTGACATTTGTGTTCTGAAATGAAATATAGAAAGAAGCATTCGAGCTTTTAAAATGTTGTTTTGAGCTGAAATTTTCATCCATTGTAAAAATAGAAAATGAGAAAAAAAAATTAAATTCTGTTTATTTACTGTAGTATATTCTACTTATAAACGGATATTTTTTTTATCTAGACCTTACACCCCCAACGAAGAAAACTACTGTTCAAATGACTACAGAAATGACAACAACAGAGTCTACTACTACTCCTACAACTACCACCACACCAACTACAACGCCAACCACTACTACCACACCAACAACAACAACAACTACAACGCCAACCACTACTACCACACCAACCACAACCACAACGCCAACTACTACTACCACGCCAACAACAACTACAACGCCAACCACTACTACTACACCGACAACAACTACAACGCCAACCACTACTACCACTCCAACAACTACAACGCCAACCACTACTACCACTCCAACAACTACAACGCCAACGACAATCCCAACAACCACTACTACTTCATCAACTACAAGTAGAATAATGAAGCCAAATACTCCTCCACCAACCGATTGCGAGGAAGATGATCTGGACTGCATCATAGACGAAACTGGAGATATCAGGAAATGGTTTGATTGCCCTCAGAGATATGGCCACTTCGCGCACGGAAGCAGTCGTCAGCTTTTCATCCACTGTGACAATTGGCGACCTTTCGTCAAGAGATGTGCAGATGACACAGCTTTCTCTCCCAAATACCTTGTATGCATGTGGATCGGTGACAAACATTAATTCAAATACCAGCAAAGTTTTTAGTGCATAGTGCAAGCAAAATTAGTTTCTCACGCTGCTTCATCAAATAAAATTTTGTAAACGAACTCTTCTTTGTCCTTTTTTCCTTTAAATCACCAAAAATTAGGGAAAGTACAGTGGGTTTTTAAAAAGAATTGAAAACGACTAAATATTTTTTTTTTTAAAATTGGCTGTAGGCTAACTGTGATTTTCATCAAAGAATAAATTTAGATACATTTTTACTTTACTACACCGCCAGGACAGCCGATTTCCTTAGGAAAGGTACTTGCCGGTCTGTTTAAGTCCAGCCGATGATTGTAGTTGCTTGTTAACGCCTTGGGTCATGTCCCTCAAAGTCTCTCTTTGAAAGAGAAAACAAACGAAATAATTAAATAATTGGAAGGGAGTAACATTTTGAAGGGGGAATGGGAGCAATGTGCTAGCTATGGAGTACTATTACTGTGTGAAAACTGATTAATTAGTCAAATGAGGAATTCCATGTTATTGAATTTCTATCACAAACACTATAAATTTGTACATAAATACTTGTTTTTACACATACTGTTTCAAAAGTAAGTGAATTAATCCTAAATATACTGATACGGGCATCAGTTGTACAAATTTATTGATCCGAATTCTGTTATAGGTATTATAAATAATTGCATGAATATATTGTTACGAAATGTACAGGCGCGGTGAGATAGCTTCCCCCGCAAAGCAGTTTTAGGGTTGCCATAAAATGGCAAGGAAAGGCAGAGTTGCCACATTTGGCGAGAATCGCCCATTTGGCGACAAAATTGGCGATATGTCATGGACGGATGGAGAACCTTCTGGAACGAATTCTTACCGGTTTAGCCCACAATGATCTCGAACACAAGCCGAAAGCTATATAAATCCTGCTGGTCCGCAGTCAGTTAGTGTGTGCTTCATCGAGAGGGCGAGTGAGTGTGGCTCGTCTAGTCAGTATTGAGTTGGTGTCTCATCTAGTGAGTCGATCGAGTTGACAGCTGGGCAGCGAGTGCCGAGTGGGCCGTCGAGTTCACCGAAGGAGTCTCTTAGTGTATCGCGGTTAGTGCATCGTCGAGAGAGCGTGTGTGTTGAGCTCCGCGAATGACTGAACCGAAGAGTCGGGAGCTGTGCTCTGTGTGTCGTCGAGTGCATCGCGAGTTGTAGCGTGGAGAGTCTCGAGAGTACGTTGGAGTTCCGGAAACGACCGAGCAGAGTCAGGAGCTGTACTCTGGTGCTTTGCGGTGAAGCTGTCTCCACCGTGATAGCCTGATAAACTGAAGGCTGTGTCGCTTATCGTGTCAGCGTGTTTATAGTAGTTCATCGACGACTGTAAAACGTGTTTTGGAGCTGTCCTGACAATACTGGCAAATGAAGTGTGGATTTGGTTACTTCATTAAGTGTCGTCGTTATTCACTCCAAATCTACGAACCCGTACGAACATGAAAGAAGAAAATAACACAACAACTGGTCTCAGAAGAAAAGAAAAACCCCAAGCAGCACCGGAACGTTCCGAAAACGTTCAGAGTCCGTGTCATACCGTTCTATAACGGTGTTAGGTGTATTTAGAACGTTCTACATAACGTGCTAAAGTGGTGCGTGTAACAACCGTGTATTTAATACGTACATTTCGACGTACAACAATCGTGTTTTTTGAAACGTTCCCAGATTCAGTTATAAAATACGTTCGACATAACGTGCTAAAATTGTTTATGTTAGAACCGTGTTCTTAGGACGTACATTTCAACGTACAACACTGGTACTTTTCGAAACGTTCTCAACATGTGCTAGAAAATACGTTCTAAACGACGTGCTAAAGCGGTGCGTATTATAACCGTGTTCTTAAAACGCACCTTTCAACGTACAATCCTGGTACATTTCGAAACGTTCTCAACATGTACTGGGAAAAACGTTCTAAATTACGTGCTAAAATGGTGCGTATTATAACCGTGTTTTTAGGACGTATATTTCTACGTACAACACTGGTACTTTTCGAAACGTTCTCAACATGCGCTAGAAAATACGTTCTAAACGACATGCTAAATCGGTACGTATTATAACCGTGTTCTTAAAACGCACATTTCAACGTACAATCCTGGTACATTTCGAAACGTTCTCAACATGTACTGGAAAAACGTTCTAAATTACGTGCTTAAAGCGGTGCGTATTATAACCGTGTTTCTTAGGACGTATATTTCAACGCACAACACTGGTACTTTTCGAAACGTTCTCAACATGTGCTAGAAAATACGTTCTAAACGACGTGCTAAAGCGGTGCGTATTATAACCGTGTTCTTAAAACGTACATTTCAACGTACAATCCTGGTACTTTTGCAAACGTTCTCAACATGTACAAAATTTCTAAATTAAAAAAAAACGTTTTAAACGTGCGTATATTTAAAGATTCTGGTACTTTCGAAACGTAACATGTGCTATGAAAAACGTTCTAAACGTGCTAAAGAGGTGCGTATTATAACAGTGTTCTCAGAGCACATATTTCAACGTACAACACTTATACTTTTTGGAACGTTCTGAACATGTGCTAAAGTACGTTCTACAGGATGTGGTAAAGCTGTGCGTATTATAACCGTGTTCTTCGGAACATGCATAAGTACAACACTGGTTTTTTCGAAACGTTCCCAGACATACTATAAAGTACGTTCTGCATGATGTGCTGAAGAAGTGTGTGTTACAACTATATTCTTATAACGTACATTTAGACATACAATACTGGTATTTTTCAAAACGTTCTCAGCATGTGCTATAGGCCCCCAGCGGCCGAGCGGTAAACTCGCTGGATACTAGCAGTTCGGTCCGAGGTTCGATTCCCGCGAACGGGCTGGCTGCATGGGCGCTTTCGTGGTTTTCCCCATGTGTAACGTGTATACGAGCCAATTTCCCTTAGGAAGCCCTCCAGGAAGGCATCTCCCTTCCGTGTAGTGCCTAAGAGCGAAGCACGTTAATAAAAAAAAATGTGGTATAAATTACTTTATACATGACACGCTAAAGCTAATTACACTGTGTTTCTTAGGATGTTCTTTTCAGAGCATCCATTGGTAATTTTCGGATGGCTCACTCACTGCATGCTATCAAGCGCATTCTACATGACGTGCTTGTTACACCTGTATTTTTCTGTACATTTTAATATATAAAACTGCCGTGTTGTACCATGTTTCTTCGTTAAAACATTTGGAGCGTGTGCTATAAAGTACATGCTACTCACATTACAATTATACTAATTACCTAGGTTTCAGGCAACCGTCAAATTATTCATTTTCCATAAATACTTCAATATCTTTTATTTTGCCGCAGTATTAGTTATAGAAAACATTTTCATTAAATATGTACTGTAAAGACAGTTCGTAAGGCTTGTATTTCAAAAATAGATAAAATAATGTTACTTAAAAACTGTATTCTGCTTATTAAATGTAAGTTATTTAGAATTTCAAAAAAATATTTAAAAGTTCCTGCATATTTTTTCAGATGAAATGATGTCGATTTTTTTTTTTTTTTTTTTTTTTTTTTTTTTTTTCATTTCGCATTAATCATTTGTGTTTGCAGTACATTCATGAACTTTCTACTAGAACAACCATGTGAATAGTATGTAGCTTTCTATGTGCAATATTGGTATCTTCCATAACATTTGGACATGGGGTAAAAAAACTACATGTTATTCGCGTTACAAATGCGATTGCACATATTTAGAATAGCAACAGAATTATGATGATGTTAGGACACGTTTGCGAACGTGCTAATTTTTTTCCCTAAAATGCACTAATTATTCGTATTGTAGGTGTTAAATGTCGTTGGTGATGAACTGTTTCTTTCAAGTGAAAGAAGAGAAAAGTCACTTAATGATTTTTATTTAAGAAAATTGTTTTATAAATTTTATTAATTTTACAAACATGTAAACACGGATACAATAATAATAATAATAATAAAGGATACAAATTTGGGGCGACATAATCCGCTTTTTTGCTTGAACATTTTCCATGTTTCTCACCGCCTAAAACAGGCGTCATAAAGAGGATATTTGTCAGGCACACAGACCAAAATCTCTCGCGAACCCCCACCTTCACATATTGCAACAATCTATGATATTGTACAAGATTTACAATAAAGCAGAGTGATACTATAGAAAATTTAGGATAAAAATGAGTCAATGGAAAATCAAACTTATTTTCGAGCGCATGTAAAATAATTAACAACACATGGACCCGAACTCTTTAATTAATTACTTAAGGGGCCTCGAGGGCCCTAAGTAATTGATATGCGCGTTACCGAATATCAGTTATAGTGAGAACTGAAAAGTGCATGACATCAGTAGAAGACCACTAGATAACAAGCATTAGTAAATGCCAATAATCTTATCTAGTAATACGTTAATGCTTAATTGCTTTTCTTTGGAAGAAATGAAAAGGCCTTGGGATTATTGCAAGATTCGGATACCTAAATACGCCACAAATGGAATACCTTCTGAGTGATCACCAAATGAGTCATTTGTCCACTATTACGTTTTTACAGAAAAATTAAAAATTGAAAATTAGGCAGCATAAGAAATTTATGAATTCAAAATATCTTGATATTTTACACTTGTTATCCATTTTCATAGACATGAAAAAAGAAGAGTATGAAAAAAAATAGTTTTTTCAACAGCATTTTAATTTCATACTCTATATATTTGTTGCTTTAATTTTTTCCCTGTTTAAAAACTCTGCGAATTGGGAAAATTTAATCCTGTTATTTTTCGCAAATTTAAATAATTTAATCATTATTCGGAAGATCACATATATGAAGCTGAAATTTATCAATGATTTTTAATCACATGCGAGAAATTTATGTATATCTGCATCGAAACTGTTACGAATATTATTAAGCTGTAGATTTTCAAATGAATTTATATAGTTCCTTTTATATAAATTTGTCCTTTATTCATATCAACTTTTAACTCAGAATTTGATTTCCTGTATGAAAATCATGTCGTCCAATTAACTAGAAGCTATTTACATATTATTTCTGATATTTAGCAAAATATTCGTTGTTTTAATGAAAAGCAAATTTTATTTGCATTGCTCATCTA